AAAAACATAAATAAATAAATAAAAAAATTAAAAATAAATAAAGTAAAGCCCTGCTTAATTCAGAGAGTTCTTGGAATTTCAGAGCTGCCTACGCATGTTTGTAGGGTGCACAGCATTGGGGTTTATCGTTTTACGCAGGCCATTCGTCCAACTACTACGTATATCTATAGAAATATTTAAATATACCTATACTATATTTAAGCTACAGCCCAGACATGCATTTACCTTACTTGGCAATTTATGACCGAATTTATCGAAACGATGTCAAATAAAGTAGCAAAACGTGTTCATATATATTCGTGAATTCTTGAATTTTGGATTTTTTTTATGCCAGGCAACTCGTCTTTTACGTATATTTATATTTAAGGTAAATAAAGCTGATTATATATTTGCAAAATTATAAATACTTTATATAAACAAAAATTACCGATGCTTCTCTCGAACGTCACATTTTTTTAAGGCCAATACAAAATACTTAAAATGTATAAAATATATAATTCCAGAACTAGTTTTTTTAATGGCAAATGTTGTCGGCATATGTATGATATATATAGTAATATCAGCAATATTTACCCATATGTATAGGAGCTATTTGATTTCTAAAGTAGAGTCTAAATCTAGCTGATATCAAACTTGAGTTAAAAAGAAGCGAATCAATTAGATTACAAATAAAATTTGTGTTGGGCCTAAGCAATTATCACGAACGTGTTAAACTCTCTTCAAAAATTTAAAAATAAATATGTATATGTATATATACATATATAAATTCTGCTGCTGCTTCAATGGGGCAACTAGCGTTAGCGACCTCCTTATAAAGCCAATGCTCATTTCCTTTCCATTGTTTTATTTTCTATCTGTCGTTTTTTTTTGGGCAAGGTCAATGTAATAAACGAGTTTTTTTTTTTTTTTTTTTTTTTTAATTTTTTTTTTTATATACTCTGCTGCAATGCGTTCCCTTTCTCCATAATAAGAACTACAGTCTTGGGCAAGCATTTCTTTTGTAAGAACTTATAAAGTATTAAGATGATATATGTATGTATATACATATCTTCAAAATGTTGCAATGCTTCCAACTGGCATATATATATTTATATATCTATATAATTTTTTTCGTTTAAATTCGTGCGCTTTTATTTGTCATATGCAAATGTTTATGTTTTTGTTAAAGCTGAAAATAGTGGGAGAAAAATGTTAAAGTTTTTTTTTTTTTTTTTTTTTTTTTTTTTTTTTTTTTTGTGATATAAACAAGAGTTACGTACAAAAGTATTTTCCTTTTGTTTGAATGGGTTTCTTGACACTTATGATTGATTACCCAGCATGTGTCATTGCCTCTATAATATAGCATATAGGCTTCATTTAAGTCGAGCGTAGGCTCGATTCTTGGTTTCTGCCCGGCATAGTTGCGATATGCATGCTTGGACTCATTGAACTCTTAAACTTTTCCATGCCTTATCCGCAGTCGAACTGGATCAGTGCACGCATATCATATAAATATATGTATATGCAATGTATTGCTCGTACTTCAGCCTCGTGCTTAATTTTCGCAAGAATGAGTGTGTAAAAAGTCATGTCTGAAGAAATTGTACAAAAATGATGATGTCGTGCTATCGCCAATCACAATATAAATATATAAGTATACATAATCGCTGATAAAAATAAAGACCCCACTAGTTAAGGCTTATCTCAGATCTTTGTCACAGCGCAAAGCTCATAATTTACTTAAGTTTTTCCACTTAAAATGCAATTGCATAGAAAAAAGCTCCATTAACTTTAGTATATGTAGTTTCCATATATAATATATTCTAGTCAACTAACTGTTATAATAGCAAAATTTTTATACGAGGTGCATTCAAAAAGTAAAGCAAAGTGTTTTTTTTTCTTTCTCAAAATATATTGAAGAAGTTTTTAAATGTTTTATGTTTAAAATATACTCGAATATTGAATTCTAATTTTTAAATACTATTTAAACACACCTCGTTTGTAACTATTATTACTAATTATTCAATCAATTTAAGTATTCGATGTACGTTTTAAAGAAGCACTCTTGCTTATAAATTATATTTGTTATTCCATTAACTAATGAATTTTTAGTGCGGAAATGTACCATACGTTTATTATTTTATTCTTATTAATCGTTTATAATAGTAATTACTTGTGCTTATCGCATAATACAAATCTAAATGTCTGACTAGTGTAACCATATCTACAGAGCTATCAGCTATCAGATAACGCATCCGGGCATATATAATAAAGAGCACAAATGACGGAAGGCTACTAATCGTGATTGAGGATTAGAATCGAGTAAATTATGGTCCACTTCATGATATGATTAGCGCTCCATTTACATATATAAATATGTATATGTGTATATATATATATATA